CTCACAAAATTGGATAAAATATGCCCTAAACTGTAAAAAACACACTAAAACAAAAAAGTGAAATTCGCAATAGGAAAAACAGCCAGAAAATGAAAGAAAAATCTATCAAAACATAGTATATTATAAAGCGTGTTAATATAGATACAAAAGTAAAATTCAAATTTTCTACCTTTTCGCCGTATAGCAGATTGTAATTGTAAATATCTTTAAATATTCCTTAAAGCAAGAGAAGTTTTCCAGGCACGATACCCGTAACATAACAACAGTTAATACACAAAGTAATATTGCTATTAAGCAAAACAGTTTCTATTATTTTATACTATAATTGAATAAAGTCGCGATCCACCGCGTATTGTTACATTAAGCAAGCCTCAACGAAAACTAATCGCAAGTCGGGCTTCGGAGATATATGGGAGATATTAAACCGAAGACGAAACGATTGCGACATATTCCTTCACGAAGCTCGACTGAACAGTGTAATCATAAGCCGAATAAAACCGAAAGAATAAATATGTTATACAATTAATTGTTTTTAAATTAAAATGAAAATTCTGAACTCCAAGGATATTGACCAGAAAAAGTTCAGAGTTTTCATTTAAGTTTACATAGTGTGAGTGATTATGAATAATTTAATTCTTTTTACTTTTTGATTTATTACTTCTTTTGCTCCTGAGCTACGTCAAAGTTTTGGCCATGTGATAGTATAGATAGCATAAATGAAGGCATAAGTACAAACTTTTTTAACTATTTTTAGAGTTTGATCATTACTAATAAAGTAAAGTTTTAAAAATAAAAGCACTATGTACTTGCAATTAGTAAACAGAAAGTTATACCTGCAGTAAAATATTAAATGGTGAAATACGCTTTTAAAATTCCTCGAAATAATTTGTAATTAGATATACCACAAATAGAAAATCTGCGTCCATTATTTTATGCATAAAATACGACTTTCATTTCAAAATTCCAAATTAACCGAAGACAGGCTGAACTTTGCGAATAGGATTTGCTAGGTTTTAAAAACAATTCTGTATAAATAATGTGATTAAACACGTTGTCTGATTTTGAAAAGGTTTAAATAAATAAATAAGTAACAGTTCTTTATCATAGCAACATTGATATGCCATGTTACAATGAAAAATATTATTTGGCATTTTATAAAAGCCTAAAGTTTGTAGGTTATCATCTTATTCCCAAAATTTCTAGATGCAGGCCAGAGATGTAGTGATTTATTTGAATTACTTGCATTTAAATATTTTTTTGAGAAAAGCATTTTGTATTTTATTTAAAATATTTATCTAAACGTATTTTCTATTTGTAAAATGCAAAATACATTTTTGCCGTTAAAGATTTTGCTAGTATCACCGGTCAAATATTATAAAAAACGATGAATGAAAGTTGCTCACATTGGTTTTTGAAGGTATTAGAAGCTTAAAAAGGGGACAAAGAGGCATTCCATGAATGCCTTTTAATTCTTTAACTGAAGAGCCCGAAAAATTCTAAATTTCTTGGAAATGGATAATCTAAAATATTGGATCGATATTGTTTTCCGGGTTCAAAATATTTCGATATAAAATGAATGATGTTGAGTTAAAAATATTTTGCAAATACGGATTTTGCATTTAAAATTTTATTTTGTGTTTTGCATTTAAAATAACAAATCAAAAAACCATTTTGTACATCTCTAACTTTAACGTGTGCATTAAGTTGATTTTCAAGAATCGCATGATACAACTCTTGATTGAAGCAATTTAACAAATCAGATTTTAATTTCTACACCTACACGTGTGGTACATCAACTACTTGTTTTAGCTAATTTATCTGAAATATAACATAATTTCATACTTCAATTATGTATCTTTTGGATGTTTTTTTTTTTGAAAATGTTTTTATATTATCCATATTTAAAAAAGAAAAACGGAATCTTTAAAAAAAAATTCTTCACGATAATTACCCATTTATGAGAGAAATTAATGACAACAAAATTAATTAATTACCAAAAATAAATAATCAATTTAATAAAGGTACTTATCATTGCATTTTTAAATGAAAACATTCAGTTGTTAAAATACCTATTCCTATATTCTCGTATTATTTTTCTTTGTCCTAATATTTCTACTTTTACATTTATTTCGCATAGCAACCTTCGAACGATATGAGTCAACACGCCAAGCAAAAAACTCTGAAGAGATAACAACAACACGAAAACAAGTATACGTTGTAAATAAGTAAGTTTAAAGCATATTGTCCCTTTCCCCGCTTCCTCGAAAAAGAATAAACGGCAAACAATCATTACAAAAGACACGGATTTATGTAGAAAAATATTTTGACCATTATATTACAACAGACCATCATTATTGTATTAATTTTAAAATCTGAAAAACGAACTTTGAATAATACGAAAGTTATAGCAATTTCTACTATCAGAAACTGCAAAGTTTTAGATTCAGAAGTAAGGGTGAAGAGCACCCTTACAAAAAAATTGATTTCACACATTTTGTCCTCGTCCTCTTTAAATAAAATTATCTAAATCGGATAAACGAATTTTGATTAATAAGCAATTTACAGTGCTTGTAATTATAACTATCAGAAATTCCAAAGTTGTACGTTTAAAAGCAAGCGTAAAAAGGGTTACAAAATATATGACTATATACATTTTGTTTCCGTTCTCTTCAAACAAAATCATTTAAATCGGATAAACGAATTTTGAATAATAAGCAAGTTTCAGCGCTTGTAACTTTAACTATCAGAAATTGCAAAATTGTAAGTTCAAGAGCAAGTGTAAAGAGTACCCTTACAAAATATATGATTGTATACATTTTGTTTTCGTCCTTTTCAAACAAGATTATTTAAATCAGATAAACGAATTTTGAATAATAAGCAAGTTATAGCGCTTGTAACTTTAACTATCCAAAATTGCAAAATTGTGAATTCAAAAGCAAGGGTAAAGAGTACCTTTACAAAATATATGACTATATACATTTTATTTCCGTCCTCTTCAAACAAAATTATCAACATTTGACAAACAAATTTTGAATAATATGTAAATTTATACATCTACAATTTCCTAACAGAGGCAAGTACCGGCATCTGGCGGTATTTGCAACTGCTAAGGCATTCAATTTTCACTAGTTAACGTTTTAGGTCAGAAAAGAAGAGTATAAAGCAGCCTTACAAAAAAACCGACCCTACACGTTTTTTGCAAATAAAATTATCAAAATATAACAAACGAATTTACATGGATGTTATAGAACTTGTAATTTTAACTCGCAGAAATTTTAGTTTAGTTTCAAATGCAAGGGTAAATAGTACCCTTATAAAAAATCTGACTTAACAGATTTTGTCCTTATCCTCTTGAAACAAAATTATCAAAATATGACAAAGGAATTTTGAATGATATGGAAGTTATAGGACTTGCAATTTTAACTCTCAGAAATTGCAAAGTTTGGGTACAAAAGCAAGGTAGAGACCACCCTTACAAACAATCTGACTATACACATTTTGTCCTCAACCTCTTTAAACAAAATTGTCAAAATATGACAAAGTAATTTTGAATTACAAGGAAGTTATAGGACTTGCAATTTTAACTCTCAGAAATTGCAAAGTTTTGGTTCAATGGCAAGGGTGAAGAGTACCCTTACAAAAAATCTGACTTAACACATTTTGTCCACATCCTCTTCAAACAAAATTATCAAAATATGACAAAGGAATTTTGAATGATATGGAAGTTATAGGACTTGCAATTTTAACTCTCAGAAATTGTAAAGTTTTGGTTCCACGCTAAGGGTAAAGAGTACCCTTACAAAAAATTTGACTATACACATTTTGTTCCCATCCTCCTCAAACAAAATTATCAATATATGATAAACGAATTTTGAAAAATATGCAAGTTATAGCACTTGTTCTTTTTACTCTTAGAAATTGAAAAGTTGTAAGTTCAAAAGCAAGGGTAAAGAGTACCTTTACAAAATATACGACTATATACATTTGTTTCCGTCTTCTCTAAATAAAATTATAAGTCTAACAAACGAATTTTGAATAATATGTAAATTAATACATCTATAATTTTCAAATAGAGCAAGGTACTGACATCTGGCGGTATTTAATGTTGCTAAGGCATTCAATTTTCACTAGCTAAAGTTTTAGGTCAGAAAAGAAGGGTATAAGGCACCCCTACAAAAAAACTAACCCTATACGTTTTGTCTCCGTTTTATTCGAACAAAATTATCAAAATATGACAAACAAATTTTGAAGAATATGCAAGTAATAAGACTTGTTATGTTTACTATCGGTATATGCAGTTTTTTTTTCCAAAGCGAGGGTAAGCAGCACCCTTACTTAAAATTTGACTTTGTACATTTTGTTTCCATACTGTTTAAACAAAATTATCAAAATCTGACCAACAAATTTTGAATAATATGTATACATCTATAATTTCCAAATAGAGGCAGGTACAGGCATCTAGCGGTATTTGATACTACTAAGGCATCGAATTTTCACAAGCTAACGTTTTAGGTCCGAAAAGAAGGGTATAAAGCAGCCCTACAAAAAAAAATCAACCCTACACGTTTTTTCCCATTTTCTGCAAACAAAACATAACAAAAGAATTTACATAGATGCTATAGGACTTGCAATTTTAACTCTCAGAAATTGCAAAGTTTAGGTTCAAAGGCAAGGGTAGAGACCACCCTTACAAACAATCTGACTATACACATTTTGTCCTCATCCTCTTTAAACTAAATTATCAAAATTTGACAAACGAATTTCGAATAATATGCAAGTTATAGCACTTGTAATTTCTACTCTTAAAAATTGTAAAGTTTGGGTTCAAAAGCAAGGGTAGAGGCCACCCTTACAAACAATCTGACTTTACACATATTGTTCTCGTCCTTTACTCGATTACTTTTTTGATGATTTTTACAAGGATGTTGTAGCTAATATTTCAAAAGTTGAAGTATAACACAAACATTAAATACGTTCTATTTCTTCTTTTTTTTTTTATTCTCAGTAAATTTGTGTAGAAATTTATAAATAATTTAATTACAATGTAGTGCTTATAAACATCCCAATGTGATATTCACCAAATTAATATGTTAAGTAACTGTTTATTACTTGAAGTTTTAAGGTAAAAAAGTTTAAATTGGGCTTTTAAAATTAATTACTTATTTATAATTAAAAAAATAAAATATATTAGTCAAGTATTAAACAGTTTTGCCTGACCAACAAATTAATAAAACAGAAAGAAATAACAATTACC